CCGGAAGTTGGTGGCTCAACTCTCTCAGATATTTGGATTAAACGGCCTACTGCTCTTTTGGCCAAGCCACTAAAAGCCTTCGACCCAGCGGCACGCGACGCCTTCTCTGCCTGGCAACGAAGTTCGAGGAGGCGTCGTAGCTTTTCGGTACAGACTACATCAGCTGATAAGACAGAGCTCAACTAAACTAGTTCAACCCCTAGGACCTCAGCAGCGGCTGACTGTCAAGCAAAGAACAAGAAAATTCGCAACCTGCACTGAACCGGGCATGAGCACCTTTTAGCTTTTGCAGGATTGCAATCAAGCATTCTACAACGCTGTGCCCTTTATCATGCCTGTGCCAAAAGGGTGAATAACGTAAAGTAAACAATTCGGTTGTGGCCGTGCTGCTTTTGATCGAGATCCAGCAATGCAGGCCACGGGTAACAATGGCTGGGGTGCTATTGACCTACCAGCCATATTTGCCCACACCGTTTGGCGTCGGGTAACAAACAAAGAAAGTGGAACTTGCCGCCGGTTGAACATCAAAGCATGTTTGCGTTTGTGGAACAACCTGTTCGAGTCTCTCATCTTGTTGCGGCCATGGCCCACGGCTTCGTTGGCCAGTGCAGCCCTTTCAGGAATGAATCAGGTGGACGACCTCAAACAGCGGCCGTTGGTGTCCTGAGTTCGAATTTTTTCCATGACCGATTTATGTGTGCTGCGACAAGCATCTGACTGTGAAATCAACAGACAGAAAAGATTGCAGAATGAAACACCATTCGGGCAGACAGGCGCAAATGTGATAAATATGTGACATGTCACATGTCACCAAATAAGCTCATTGAGTCGACAGTATTACCTTGTCATACTTACTATGCTTAGGAGCGGGAACGGTTGTTTTACATACGTTGACGGGACACGATGGCAGCACAAACAAATGGACTTGGTGTACCTGAAAAGCTAATGTTGTCTGGGTCCTTCTTTGTGAAATCGGCATGCATTCCTCCCCATTTCCGACATCCTCCCAACAATTCGCCACGCGCGGGACTGAGGAGCCGACTTCAGCCGCCCAGTTGTGCTTGAACTTGGGCACTGTCCTTCAGAATGCGACAACAGCTGCGACAACGGCCATTCATGCAACACGAACGCGAGCCCATAAGCGCAGGCAAGGAGACGCCACCAAAGCTCTCATGGCCCCATGTCACCTCAATCAAACTGCTGACAGCTGCAGCTGGGTTCTGCCGGGGCCACCTGGCCTTCTGTTGACCATGAGCACACAGGGCCATGACATGCCATGAACGCTTCATGCTTACTGAAACTATTGGTGGATCACCAGAGCAGACTGACGATGGACTTTGCACACTGCTGCTTCCAAGTGACAAGCTGCCCAGAGGTGGTCAATGCAGCAAATGCTCCACCAGAACCAACAATCTGCAAGAATGGGATCATTTACAAGTGAACGAATCCCCTGCAAACCAAAATAACCCACAGCTGCGCATCGGGGCCTGCTTCACCATTAGGAGGCGGTCCTGCACGTCGCGACTGTCACCTCCTGCATCGCTCTGGCCCCAGCTGACCACACTTCCATCTTCCTGCATTCAGAGATCTAAACCGCCACTACTGTACTGTGGGCATCATTGAAAAGCTTGCCGTGCAACATCGGAATGTGCTCCCACCTTGAGAGCAGCAAACGCGTTCTCCGTCGCAATGACCTGAATAGCTGCATATAGCTGCTTAGCTTACGGACGAGCTTTCAAACCTGCGCTGCGGCGGCCCAAAGAAGCATGAACCTGTGGCGACCTCTACCAGACTCTACCAACCTGGCCTCCAGCACGTTTACCAACTGCTCTCTCACTGTGTGAGTGTCACCGCCACGCTCCTTAGATTCTCAGAAACCCCTCAAGTGTGCTGCTTCTGAAACGTCTAACTAATTTTTACATATGCGCAACCGGTGGTACTTTATGCTCTCATTTAAAGGATTGTGCTCAATCGGTCTGACTTGCCGGTCTCGTTGCCACTCCAAGCTTCCGGATCCCCCCAGCAAACGGCTTCACCTGCCGAACGTTTCAAGTCAATGAGAGTGATAGGAGCCCATACTGCCACCCCACACACCCCACACACCCCACACACCCCACACACCCCACACACCCCACACACCGCACACACCGCACACACCGCACACACCGCACACACCGCACACACCGCACACACCCCACACACCCCACACACCCCACACTCCACACACCCCACACACCCCCACACCCCACACACCCCACACACCCCACACACCCCACACACACACACCCCCACACACCCCCACACACACCCACCCACACACACACCCACACACACCCCCCCACACACCCCACACACCCACACACCCCACACCACCCCACACAACACCCCACACCCCCACACACCCCACACACACACCCACACACACCCACACACCCCACACACCCACACACCCACACACCCCACACACCCCACACACCCCCCACACACCCCACACACCCCCCACACCCACACACCCCCCACACACCCCACACACCCCACACACCCCACACACCCCACACGCTCCACACGCTCCACACACCCCACACACCCCACACGCTCCACACGCTCCACACGCTCCACACGCTCCACGCGCCCCGGATGTCCCACAACCCCCACGCCTTCCCCCCCACACGGCACGAAGGCCCCGCGCGCCCGGCCTGCCCAGCGCGCCCCGCAGGCCCCAGACACCCCGCACGCCCTGCAGAGCATGCCTGAGCACTTGACGAGAGGAAGGTCCTACAATTAGATCTTGTTAGGGTCGCAATGATCCCCGACTACACCCGTGGCCCAAGGCGAAGGCGGGCTGGCTGGAACACGGAAAGCTGACGCGTCATCATCCGTCACGATGTTCTTTCTAGAGGATTTAAAAGGAAGAAACGTAGAGGTTGCGAAAATAAAACGCATGGTGAAGCATAGATGTAATAGAAAAAGCACATGGACAATGGACAAGAAGAGCGGGCACAAATCATGCTGAGCAAGCCATCTCCAAAATAGCTCCACTGAAATGATTTGTTGTTGAAGCATGCCTTGTAGTGTAACCGGCAATCAGCAAGAATGCACCGTGCACGGCGTATGCCACAGGACTTCTATATGCATCACTGTAGGTACACGTTCTGGCGTCCCAGAACGCTTCGCCATAGAAAGCTGGTGTCTTTGTTAGCGGGAGTCCGGCATTACACGCAGAGACACGCAGAGACACGCAGAGACACGCAGAGACACGCAGAGACAGGCAGAGACAGGCAGAGACAGGCAGAGACAGGCAGAGACAGGCAGAGACACGCAGAGACACGCAGAGACACGCAGAGACACGCAGAGACACGCAGAGACACGCAGAGACACGCAGAGACACGCAGAGACACGCAGAGACACGCAGAGACACCCAGAGACACCCAGAGACACCCCGAGACGCACAGACGCACGCCCGCACGCCCGCACGCCCGCACGCCCGCACGCCCGCACGCCCGCACGCCCGCACGCCCGCACGCCCGCACGCCCGCACGCCCGCACCCACGCCCGCACCCACGCACGCAACGCACGCACGCCGCACGCCCCCGCACGCACGCACGCCCGCACGCCCGCACGCCCGCACGCCCGCACGCCCGCACGCCCGCACGCCGCACGCCCGCACGCCCGCACGCCCGCACGCCCGCACGCCCGCACGCCCGCACGCCCGCACGCCCGCGCGCCCGCACGCCCGCACGCCCGCACGCCCGCACGCCCTCACGCCCGCACGCACGTACGCACGCACGCACGCACGTACGCACCACAACACAACCCAACCCAACAACCCAATACAGCACAACCCAACACAGCACAACCCAACACAGCACAACCCAACACAGCACAACCCAACACAGCACAACCCAACACAGCACAACCCAACACAGCACAACCCAACACAGCACAACCCAACACAACACAACGCAACATCACACAACCAAACATAACACAACCCAACATAACACAACCCAACACAACACAACCCAACATAACACAACCCAACATAACACAACCCAACATAACACAACCCAACCCAACCCAACACAACACAACACAACACAACACAACACATAACAACACAACACATAACAACACAACACATAACAACACCACACATAACAACACAACACATAACAACACAACACAACAAATAACAACAGAACACATAACAACGCCTAGCAACACCTAGCAACACAACACAACAACATACAACACATAGCAACACATAGCAACACATAGCAACACATAGCAACACATAGCAACACATAGCAACACATAACAACACATAACAACACATAACAACACATAACAACACATAACAAACACATAACAACACATAACAACACATAACAACACATAACAACACATAACAACACATAACAACACATAACAACACATAACAACACATAACAACACATAACAACACATAACAACACATAACAACACATAACAACACATAACAACACATAACAACACATAACAACACATAACAACACATAACAACACATAACAACACATAACAACACATAACAACACATAACAACACATAACAACACATAACAACACATAACAACACATAACAACACATAACAACACATAACAACACATAACAACACATAACAACACATAACAACACATAACAACACATAACAAACAACACATAACAACACATAACAACACATAACAACACATAACAACACATAACAACACGTAACAACACGTAACAACACATAACAACACGTAACAACACCTAACAACACCTAACAACACATAACAACACATAACAACACATAACAACACATAACAACACATAACAACACATAACAACACATAACAACACATAACAACACATAACAACACATAACAACACATAACAACACATAACAACACATAGCAACACATAGCAACACATAGCAACACATAACAACACATAACAACACATAACAACACATAACAACACATAACAACACATAACAACACATAACAACACATAACAACACATAACAACACACAACAACACATAACAACACATAACAACACATAACAACACATAACAACACATAACAACACATAACAACACATAACAACACATAACAACACATAGCAACACATACAACACATAACAACACATAACAACACATAACAACACATAACAACACATAACAACACATAACAACACATAGCAACACATAGCAACACATAGCAACACATAACAACCCATAACAACGCAGAACAACGCAGAACAACATAACAACACATAACAACACATAACAACACATAACAACACATAACAACACATAACAACACATAACAACACATAACAACACATAACAACACATAACAACACATAACAACACATAACAACACATAGCAACACATAGCAACACATACAACACATACAACACATAACAACACATAACAACACATAGCAACACATAACAACACATAACAACACATAACAACACATAACAACACATAGCAACACATAACAACACATAACAACACACATAACAACACATAACAACACATAACAACACATAACAACACATAACAACACATAACAACACATAACAACACATAACAACACATAACAACACATAACAACACATAACAACACATAACAACACATAACAACACATAACAACACATAACAACACATAACAACACATAACAACACATAACAATACATAACAACACAACGCAACGCAACGCAACGCAACGCAACGCAACGCAACGCAACGCAACACAACTCAAGCCAGCAACGCAATGCAACGCAACACAACACGCCTGGCTGTATAACACACTTGATGCATTAGTGTTCCACATATTCTGGTTCATGGTGCTGTACCCGCTGACGAAGGAGAGGACGTGGAGGTAGAAGAAGAGGCATTTGGTGATGATGCAGAAGAGAATGAATGAAGTCTTAAATGAGTTTCGTTACAAAAACAACCAGGTTTTGTGCTTGTGTGTGCCAGACACTGGGAGTGGCACCCACGAAAACATGATGAGATGATGCTTGTGAAGTCCAGCTGCTCCCGAAGGAACCCAAAAGCGGGCAAAGTAAGCTGGTACGTTTCCTGGGAGGGATGGGGGAGCTTCGTTGGGCGGGGCTCCCCATCCCTCCCCCCTGCCCCCCTACACACACACAACACACAACACACACACACACACACACACACACCGCGCGAGCACTCGGGCACTGCCTTCTTGTGTGATTGCCGCAAATGCGCTGCCAGAAGCAGTGATCGCCTGAAGGTGTGACAATGAGTCGACTACCATCAAAGATCTTTACGGACTTGCACCCGAGCACCTTGGAGTTTTGAATCCGTCTGGCGAGGTCCTCAGCTTTTTAGCTCAGAAAGATATGTCCCGACGCGTCTGTGAGTCGCTGCTGGCACTGATAGCGCATTCGGATGTCAGTCCCTCGGCCCTATCTTGCGACCAGTAGTCGCCTGTTGCAGATCCACCGAGTTCTGGCAGACCCCAACAGATAATGGTCCCGTCGGACCTGACAGCAGCAAAAGCACCTGCAGTCGCCTCGGTCAGGGAATTCCAGAAGTTCATTTGGGCCCTGACACTTCTCTTCTCGATACTCAAGCTTGAAGCTCACTACCTTCTTTTGTTGATGCCCACCCCCTAAACGCAAAACATCCGCAAGGCAAAACCATCCTCGGCTGCTTTCCCCAAAGCAAAGCTTAGAGCACATGCAACGCTTCAAGGTCATGTAGCAAGGAAAGGTCCCCAACAAAAGTTATTGCTCTGCGTACCAGGCAGGGAACTTTTAGACTCTTCACACCAACAAGTTCCGCCGAAACTTTGCTGGAATCGCCACCTCAGCTCATGTTCAACAAAAGGCAAGGTAAATAATTACGGGAACAGCCGGTATAGCAACACAAACACAAGCCCAAACGAAAACCAGGAGGCCGAAAAGTGGATCTCCCCAAACAACGACATCACCACTGCCTGCGCATTCATTCGTCAGCAGAACCATGATGCAATACATGTGAATGCATACACACACACAGGACTGGTGCCCAGGCTCAGCGTCCCGATCTGGCCAACCCCTTTGGAATCGTTGTCTGAAAGGGAGGAGAACATGTTGCCAAAACGAACATTTGGCGTAAAATGCATATCCCAATGCCAGAGAAAAGCCCCCTTGAATCTTGAACAGTTCCCAACTGTCAGCACCCGTCCAAGAAGATGTAGGCGGCATGAGTGGTCTTCTTCCGGGCTCTTCGGAAAGGGTTGTGCACCGTACTCTGAGCTGCTGCCCCTGAGTGGCTGCCCCCGTTCTCTTGCGGTCAAAGGACGCCCACTCTTCAATCAGCGCCAAGGCTTTGAACAAGCTGAGGGCATCCCGGTGCCAACCCAAGCTCAAGATGTATGGATGGAGGAGTGTGGGATAAACATACGGTGCGCCACATGCAACCATTGTTGAGGGAGGTCCCCTACAAGATGGGGCGCTCTAAATCTAACGTGACCACAAAAGCTGAAGCTCTATACGTGAGAATTACAAAGACGAAGAGGGTTAGTTCCTGATGGCTTTCATTCATGACTGGACGAAGAAATTCGACCAAACCTGAGATTCAAGGAATGCACAGTTCCGGCACCAGTATCCTTGAAGCAGCAAGACACCCCCCCTCCCTGTCCCAAAACCATATATAGACCTCATAGAGCGCAAAGAACGCATAGAGCCAGCAACACACGCTTTCAATGCCCACCTGTGATGGCCGCAAAGGCTGCGGAGGTAGCACAGAGGCTTTGAACCTTATTCCAGACATTTTGGAAGCAATGGTCTCTGATAATAACGATCTGTAACGATCTGCTTGCAGATATGTCGAACGATGCAAACCTGAGTGGCTCGCGTTTCGAAGCTGTTCGGTGACACTCTGGCTGTCGCCACCATGACCTTCATGTACCCAAAGTACCCGGCACTGCATTGTATGTGTGCAAGGACTCGACAGCTGCACCCTTACATAACTCAGCAAAAGGATGGCAGGCCACGATCGGGTTCCAAAGCTCACAGCGTCCCGCGTCTGCGGTGCGCATGCTGTTTCCCCCGTCTAAGGCCTCCTTCTCGTTTGCCTTCTGGCTTGCCGCCCAACATGTCTGTCTCGGTTTAGGGCCTTGCCACCCAACATTTTATCTTAGCCCCTTGGGCTTGCCACCCAACATCCCTTTTCGGGGTTTGGCTTGTTTACATTTGGCCTGTAGAATCTAGGGTTTATGGCTTGGGGCTTGCAACCCAACATCATATTTTAGGGGTTTGGGTTGGGGACATTTCCTTTACATGAGCTGTCGCAGGCCATCACTGCTGCTGCTTGAAAATTTGATGCGGCAGAGTTCTTCAAAGAAGCGATCGCGGATTGTAGGCCGCGAGCGCACAAGTTTCACACATCTTCTGACAAGATTGCGTGAGCAATCTGAAAAGCAAGCCGCATCTCCAAATGAGCTCAGGAATCTGTCAATTCGAGGAGGCGGAGGCGAGCCGTGTAGCGCCAAAAAACTGTCCCGACTTTCCTTCATAAAGAAGGTCTGGCTTATATAGGTTTTCGGCAGTTATGCCTCCGGTTTGAGCCTTCGGTTCGAGCCTTGCGGAAGGGGTTCCAGATTCGAGTTCGTGATGTTTCGTGTTTCGCCCAGCAGGATGAAGCAGGCTCAGGGTTTGTAGCACCTGGACTTTAGTGAGCCCAGTGAGGCGTTGACCATTAGAAGCTTGCGAGCCGAAGCACAAGGTGAGCCCCAAGTGATCACAGAGCCATCGGTGGTCAGAGCTGCGAAGGCGGCACCCGAGCCGCCTCGGAGCAAGGTGACCATTCCGCTTCGGAAAAGTGCGGGCTTCTAGACTCAAGTGCTTGCCAGAGCACAGATGTCAATGACGTTTGTCAAGTCCTTCTGCACCTGAACCACCGCAAAGCGTCAGCATACTAGTAGATTGTGGGCAGTCTTCCATAGTGCACTTTGCGCCCCAATTCAGCCACATCTACGCAAGGTAGGTCATGGGGCTTTGCTGTTCTACCACGGCCTCGGCACAGTCACCACCCCAGTCCTCCAAGGGCTGTTAGAAGCTGATGTGCATGTTCTTCCTTGCGCCTCTTCCTTGGCCTACGCTACCTCGCAAATATCAAGAGCACGAACGATGTGACCGAAGCAGCCAATCTTACCGGTACAGATTCTTTGACTCATGTCCAAACTGATCAGGGGGCGTTCAGTTCGTCTGCAAAGACCCCATGAATGGAGGGGAGGGAGAGAGAGAGAAGCTCTTTGCACCCATCTTGCTCAAGATATTCTTAATGCATACTCTTTGTGATTTTCACGCTTGTCACCCAAGGTAACCGTCACGTTGAGACCCAATGCAGCCACAATCAAGTGGAGTCCTCGTCGCCCCAGGTAACTACGGCACCATCAGCACCTACAAAGATGAGAAAGAGGTCATTCCTATTCAGCTCGACCATGCTCAGATTGTGCCGTGCACCGCAACTCCTTCAGTGCAGGACAGACACGGATCGCTGCGAAGGCTCCAGCGGTGCTGAAAATTCTCTGCACGTTGTGCAGCTCCTCTTGCATAGCAGGGCAGTGCTTTCATAATGGTAAAAAACTCTGAATAAGCCCATCACCGACTGCCGATTGGTCTGTTTTTGATTCCAACAGCAATGGCATTTTGATGTGATACCACGTACCAGTCATGCTCCCACTATGCTGGACCGATCGGCACAGTCCTTCTCAACTTCACTACTGTCTCCACCAAGGTCTTCGCAGCCCCAGGTGACCTCATAATTAGGCGCTTTCAATGCTCGCGGCTGGCCAAATTACATTCAGGCTATTTCAGGCCCAATCTTGCGGCTCAGAAATGGATCACCAGGTGGCCACGGAGCCATCTCGCCGAAGTGCTGCGCAGGCGCGTGCCGTCATCTTGACCTGGGATTCGATCCGAGTGTGTTTCGAAAGAAACATAAAGAAACGAAAGACGGGAAAGCTTCATCCCTCAGAAGATGTGAAGGTGTGTTTCATTGTGCTTCCCAGCCAAGCAGCATCACAGACATTGACAAGCTGGTCCTGAACATCAGCGCTGTCACCCCCGCTGTCTTCATCGCCCCACGCAAGGACAGAGCCATCCATCTGAATGGCGCAAAAAGCATGGGCCAATCGATTGGAATGTAACTGAAACTGCGGCTTTGCCATGAAAGCTCCCACGACGTCGCCATCCTGAATACCAGCATCTTGCAGCGTGCTCGTCCCTCGGAGAAATTCAGCACCTCCTGGCTGAACCAGAATCCCCAAAGAAGCCTGAAGCTGGGATTCTGCAGCTTTTCGGAGATCCTCCACGGAGCTCTCAGGCTCCATATCAATCGAGACACTCTGCCCGCTGAGAGTTGCTACGGAGAGATGTAGACACATGCAAGGTGCAAGAGTGCGGTGAAACCGGCACCTTGGGTAGTAGATTCGCTATCGAAGCGTGAGTTGGCAAATGGCTGCGGAGGTTTACAATACATAAAACCTTGTAAGTACGAGTAAACACACACATGCAAATGAGAACATACACAGAACTAGGCATGACAATTTCTTCGTACATCCCCCACCCGCACCTCATAGCAGCTGATGTGCGGATTACGAGTTTGACCCATTGCAGCAAACAAGGAAGACGTGCAAAGACATCTGTTCAAAAGCAACGATAATCTGGGATCTGTGCTTGGTCATGTTTCAACTACATCCGAATGCGACATCGCGACCCGACTCTTCCTAGGTATGAACTCGGTTGCCTTGCCTCATAACTTTAAGCTTCGCAGGTACACCAAGTCCCAAAAATCTAAGTTGAGGCTCAGGGTTCTGACGACCAATCCCGACTTGTATCTCCAGACCCAAAGGCCCAACTCAAACATGTTTCGACAGGAATCCTTTAAGACTTTCAGTTATCTTTGGCATTACGGGGCTATTCAAGTTCGAGTTCGCCCCCAGTGCCCAACTATACTCACTGACCACATGACGAGCCGCTCAGCGAAAGTCTAGTTCAATACTGCATGCCACTGTGTGCAGCAGTTGAGCAGCTAAGCGGCACTTGTTGAGACCACGCTCGGCGGCCTTTATTAAGCTTCTGCACGCTGAGGCATTGGAATCAAGAGTCCAACCAGCTGACTGCCAACCAGCACTTGAAAGAAACATTGCACTGCTCGTGCATCTGGCGAATCTACACTCACAAAAACACCTTGCTAAATCCCAGGCTCTTAAATCTCGGGCTGCAGCACTTGGGAGCAAAACAACGACATGGCCTACGATCGGCCTTTACCATGTTTGCGACACTTTAGACAGCCAATGCGTCAACTCCAGCCTGACGTCGGCAGAATTCGCTGCTTCCAATGGCTTGGCAGAGCTTAACCTCATAGGATAAGCCAGCGCGAACTATTTTCCGGCCCGGTCACTGCAATGCCATGAGCTGTAACCCAGGCTACTCAAGCTACTCGCCCCTCAGGGTGGCTGTTCACCCGTGTGCAGCGAGCTTGCGTAGGAAATGTACTCCTGGGCACAGCTGAGTCTGGTGGAGTTACAAACGAACAATGGAAACGGGAGGGCTGCCCGTAGCGCAAAAACAGCTCTGCTTGTTGTCAACAACTTCGTAAGGTGGTCCGAACAGCTTCTTCAGAAGAACTCAACAACCCCGGAGAGCATCTGCGAATCTACTGGCGCTCCACTTGCTCATCACGTTCCTCCATGCTGCCCAAACTTGGCCAGCAGCTCAGAAACACAGGCTCGAAAACATGGGGGACACAAGGGAGTGAACAAAAAACCAAGCCAACAGCAATAAGAGCATTTCGAGCATGAGTTCGCGGGTGTGTTGCTCAGTGATGTACTTCATTTTAACAGTCTCGCTTCGCAGACATTTTTGACAGAAGAGGACCGATTTTCGGTCTTTCATATGCCGATGACATGAAAGCACCTGCCAGCTGGCACGAGGATTGTAGCCCCAACGCTTATAAAACCCGCCCGCTTGCAAACATGGCCGGTTTTTGAGCGTGTCGTGGCGAAACATTGGGTTTTTGCAGAATTTTGGGGTTGCAGCACAATGCATTCGGACAATATTTCTGTGTGCGTCCTTCGGCTTTCGGGTTGTCGGGGCCAAAGATTTGCAACAGCCTTGCCGGTCTTGACAACCAAGTCTGGAGCAAAAAGGCGGTAAATAGCAGCGTTTGCGGATGTTTGCGGCATGTGCGCAAAGGCAAGAACACTTGTGCATGAACATTTGTGACAGCGTGTCTCGTCGCAAAAGCAGTAAGCATACTCTTGCAATACATTTTACAACGGGAAAACATGCTGAACATTCCAGTGTTGTGGGCATGTTAGCATCAAACATCTTGGTGCAGCATGTTGTATAGAGGAGCAATAACGCTGTAAATACCGGTGTTCTGGTCATGGTTAGAGCAACATGGTCGAAACCAACCCCCAACCCCCAACCCCTCTGCCCCCCCCCCCACCCCAGACAAAAAGCGGCATACGTGAAACAGGAGTTCAGGTCACGCAGCATCCCGGCGCCAAAGCTCGCACCCTGCAGATTGTCCCGTACCATCCCCCGCCACAAGTCACAGCTCGCACGCTGCAAGTTCCTTCCGACGAAGGAATACCGCCCCGCTGCCAAAGCTCACACCACACAGGTTTCTGCCCCGTCCGTGGCATCCCGCCCCAACAGCTCGCGCCCGGTTCCCCCGTCCTCCCTCCAGGTTCCGCCCGTCCCGAAAAAAGTCAGGTGCATCCATGGCACCGTCCCGTCCTGAAGCATCCCGCCGCCAAAGCTCCCGGCACCGCTAAAGCTCACGCAGTGCATGGACCGTCCCGTCCCGTATCCTGCCTGCTCCCGTGGCCACCGCCAAGAATCCTCGCAGCCCCCCTGCCTGAGAACCCCAACTCCCGAGACTTGTGGGGAAAAAGAAAGAAACAGTACCCCAAGGAGTCACGGCTACACCTGAAGCAAGATACAGCTACGAATACCGCTGCCGCTCCTGCAGTGAAATCGTTCCAGAAAGATCCTGTCAGCATGTTGCAGTCATGTCTCCTGCTTGCAAGCCATTTCTGTTGGCAGCTGTTCTATATGTTCTCTGCAAACCTCGCACCGTAAACATCCAAGACGGCTCCACGTCACAGAAGCGAGAAACGGAGTCGACAGAATTTGGCAAGTTTGGGATCCTGGTCAACGTCGATGAAGAACCTGAGGCCAGGAACGGCGATGTGGCAGTGCTCAGCGATGTGTTCATGTAATTCAATGTAAGCTTTGCTCCAGGCTGGTGAAGTTCTTTGGAGTCTAGCTCTCCCTTGAACCTGGCCACCGCCAGAACTATTCGGTCCGAACAATAGCAGGTAGGGGCCAATGTGAAGCAGTCAGTAGTCGAGATCGCCGGAAGTGCTGTGTACGGACTTCCTGCGCATCGATCTGCTGATCCTCAGCTGCAACTGAATCTCCCAAAATTGAGCTATCTCAAGGTGCCTTGTTGAGGTCGAAGTCCAGAAAATCCTGCAAAGTGAGACCAACGTCGATCACAAGCAATACATTAGGCATGAACCGGTTGAGTGTGGGATTTTGTGATCGAGGGCCACAGCCTGCTGGAACTCTTCGGCCTCTTGCACTGTGGCTTTCTTTGGTTCTTCCGCCTCGGATTTGTAGGTGACCATGGGCACCGCTTATCTTTGAATTTAGCGATGGTGGGGCGGCGCGTGAAGCTTGCTGTACGCTGCTACATGAAAGTGTAGACGACTATCCTGGACGAGACTCGGATATGCTTGTTAGTCGTTGGACGATTGGACGATTCGGCGACTAGAACTCTTCGAATATCAGAATTAGACTAGACTCTACGTATATAAGATTATGTGACTATTCGACAGGTGGCCCCGTGGTTTGAGATGAGGACTTGGTGGGGGGGGGTGGGGGGGGGTGGTGGGGGGGTGGGGGTGGGTGGGGGGGGGTGGGGGGGGGGTGGGGGGGGGTGGGGGTGGGGGGTGGGGGGGGGGGGGGGGGGGGGGTGGGGGGGGGTGGGGGGGGTGGGGGTGGGCGGGGGGGGGGGGGTGGGGGTGGGGTGGGGGGGGGGGGGTGGTGGGGGGGGTGGGGGGGGGTGGGGGGGGGTGGGGGGGGTGGGGGGGTGGGGGGGTGGGGGGGGGGTGGGGGGGGGGGGGGTGTGGGGGGGGGGGGTGGGGGGGGGGGCAGTGCAGCGGGGGGGGGTGTGGTGTGCAGTGGGGGGGGTGCGTGGGGGGGGTGCAGTGGGGGGAGGTGCAGTGGGGGGGGGTGCAGTGGGGGGGGTGCAGGGGGGTGCAGTGGGGGGGTGGTGCAGTGAGGAGGGGGGGCAGGAGGGGGGGGGTGCAGTGAGGGGGGGGTGCAGTGGGGGGGGGTGCAGTGGGGGGGGTGCAGTGGGGGGGGGGCAAGGGGGGGGGGTGCAGTGGGGGGGGGTGCAGTGGGGGGGGGGTGGTGCAGTGGGGGGGGGTGTAGTGGGGGGGGTGCAGTGCAGTGGGGGGGGGGGGTGCAGGCAGTGGGGGGGGGTGCAGTGGGGGGTGGGTGGGGGGGGGGGGGTGGGGGGGGGGGTTGGGGGGGGGGGTTTGGGCGGGGGGGGGGGGGGGCGTCCAATCATGAACATGACCGTGCCCGCATTGTTCCCTCCCCCCCTCCCTCAAATGCCAAGAAGATCAGAAGAGCTCCTTCACTTGCTAGGAGGACATGGAAACATGGGAAGTCTTCACTCGATCGAGAGTCGCAGTGGCGACAGAACAAAAAAACCGCACTTTTGTTCAGTCCACGAGATGGCAACCCTTACTTGATGTTAGCTTCTAAAGATAGAAAACTACCGTTCAATTATCTTTGTGGGGTACAAACTGCTAAGAAATAGATAGACGTGAGCTACGCAGACATTTAGTGAACGATTATGTACTTTGCGAATGCCCAAAGACTCGTTTACTGGACTTTTCGTTCTATATAGTTGTCTTATTGCTGATGAATGGAGTGATAAGCTATATGCAGTGAAGGTATGAATTGCGCAATCAAGCAACCAGCAAAACAAAAGCATGGAAAAATCGAAGTAGGAATGACTCTAGAGATTTAAAAAAAACATTCCACCTCAGACTCTGATTTTATTCACTCTTATATTCACCAACTTAACCCTGAAGAAACCTTCCCAAGGCTTGGTTTCCCAAAGTTGGTAGCGCCCAAACTCTACACCACGTCAGGCCACCCGTGCCAGGCAGAAGGCCACGAGAAGCCGGAGAAGCATCGAAGGGAAGGCGCTTGCCATACGCTTGCCAGGGACTCTCAATTGGGGAATTTCTCAGTCGCAGTTGTTCTTCAAACAGAATTTTGGCGGCTCATGTAGGGCTCCCTGGAAGGTCCAAATTTCGGGTCTTTCTGATTCTCTAGTCTGTGTTGATTCGGCCAATTCATCCGAAATAAACCACGAAAAGCGTCTCCCGAAAAACACGCACTTACTGAGTGGATCACCTATGGGTTCAAAGAAATCACACGGCACATGGTGAGACTGGAGCAGGATAGTGCACGCGCAACGAGCAGCTGCAGCTGCAGCAAACCCAATCTTCTTTCAGAGGCCCCTTCGGTGATCTCTGCTCTTTTCAATCTTCTGTTGTGGCAGAAGCACATGAGCGGTGAGACGGTGAGACCATGTCCGGAGCAACATGTGCGGCTATGAAACACACTTTACGCGTATGTTACTACTTTCTCCGGAGCAAAGCACGCAAAGCACACAAAGCACTCAATACGCGGAAGCATCGAAAGCCAGGACGAGTGCGACAAGCATACTCACCTGTTTGATGACAGCTGAAGCTATTGTGCTCCGCGGCAAATACTGCCTTGACGTTGCACACGAACCAGACCAGGTTGTTCCTCTGAGTCCCGGGCGAAACCCTGAGCTGATGCGCTAGAGATGAAAGTCCTTTACCGAGGGAAAAGCCAACATGCACAACGGCAAAGGCCGAGTGCGCATTGTGCAAATTGTAGGTCTTGGCATGTCATGGTCAAGTTGATGTCAAGTTGCAACGAGGCGCACCACGGAGAAATTCCGAAAAGCGCACATGAGCCCTTTTCGGGCTTGGGAAGTGTTGTTCCCGGTGCCCCAAACCTGATCCTCGATAGATACCTAGATTGCCGTGGTCCCAAGGCCAGCTCAGAGCTTGGTGCTTAGATCATGTAGGGTTGTTGAGGGTGGTGTGGTGTTTCATATAGAGAAATGCTGCGTGGCAGGGGTGAAGAACTATGATGTGATGGATGATGTGGTGGATGTGCCGCGTAGCATATGGAAGCATGCAAAGAACTTAGAAGAGCTGAACATAAGAACACACCGACGATGCATCTGAAGAGTTTCGAAATCTTCTCCTGTACGGCGGAGCAGTAGTGTCCGAGCACTGCGGCCTGGCTCAGACCATTTCTCCCCCAACCACCCGTGACTCCATGCCTGTAACGATTTACAACCGCCGCTCTACTCTTGTGAGGATTCGAAGCCTCTCCATGCGGAAGCCATCGCATTGGCCACAAGGTTTGCCCAGTTCTCTCGTTCTGCAGCGGATTTGGATAATTGCATCTGTTGGCAAAAACATCGTCCAAACCATGAAAACAGCTGAGGGAAGGGCACACTGCCGCAAGCACTTCCTCGAACAAGTTCTGAAGCTGTTCGACGTTGCTCCTGGTCGTATTTTAATTAATGTGTTCTGGCACATCTCATTTTATCTGCAAATCGTCGGCAAACCTGCATTGCCTCTTACTTGAAGTAGAACTCAACACCTTCAATAAGTTTACATTGCTTCTAAAGTTTCATTCTGTGTCCATGCGAGTTGAACCCTCCGTGTCTTGGGCATTCCCTCGAAATTAATTCGAACAAGAAACCTCCTTTTGGGGCTCAAAAAAACTCCTCTTTCCTGTCGGTTGTAATCCTCAACTTTCTCTTGGTAGGACATCAAGAAGAAAGGAACTGTTAGTCGCAGTTATGAGTAGAAGGCAGCACAAGTAGCATTCATAATAACCGTAACAAAAGGAACACTAGTTAGTAGTAGTGTAGTAGTAGTAGTAGTAGTAGTAGTAGTAGTAGTCGTCGTCGTCGTCGTCGTCGTCGTAGTAGTAGTAGTACGCCCCAACCGGGTGGTTTGCCCACACACAGGGTGGTCAAGCATGGGTTTGGAGAAGCATGCTTGAGTCAGCTCTTGCCGCAGCATGTCAGCATGAACCATGTGGCACCCAACAGCCCAAAGCCTAAACCATAAACTCCAGAAGGTCTTGGTCCTATTTAATAGCTCAGGATTTCGCAGACGACTCGTCTTGTGGCCACTACACTACTGACGCAGTCCCGTGCTTGTTGGGTCGCGCGGCCACAGGTCCGCGGTCTGCAGAGACGGACACGGCCCTGGCATACGGGAAGCGGGGCGCAGTCCCGTATGCCAGGGCCGTGTCCGCCTCTGCAGACCGCGGACCTGTGGCCGCGCGACCCAACAAGCACGGGACTGCGTCAGTAGTGTAGTGGCCACAAGACGAGTCGTCTGCGAAATCCTGAGCTATGAAATAGGACCAAGAACTTCTGGAGTTTAAGGTTTAGGCTTTGGCTGTTCGTTGCCCACAAGCAGAAGACGCGGGCAAACCGTAAACTGTCTTACGCCTCAACCCTGAACCCACGCCCGAAAGCAGTGTTATTTCCTTGAAGCCCAGGATGACAAAACACCGAAGCCCTCGTGCTGGACTCGTGCCTGAAACACTCCAAAGCCCAAACCGTAAGACGCGCGCGCGGGCAAACCATAGGGTTCTGCGAAGTCCGGAACGCAGGGAAACCCGCAGAGGGTCGTCGTTTATGAAGAAAAAAAACGAAAAAAAGAACACTGTTGAAAGGCCGGCAGAGGCCAGAAACGCTGCGCCTGCGCATGATTTATGTACCTTCCAAAAACAAGCGCGGGCAAACCATAGGGTTGCACCGTAGTAGTAGTACCAGTAATAGCAGTAGCAGTAGCAGTAGCAGCAGCAGCAGTAGCAGTAGCAGTAGCAGTAGCAGTAGCAGTAGCAGTAGCAGCGAGAAGCCTTCGTCCCCAGCATGGTCACAGGTTTGCATGTAACACCTCAACTCTTCGCAAAACACACACGCGGCAACACAACTGAACCACACTGCGAACCTAAAATTCCTCGAGTTTTTACAGATTCTTGTCAAGACACTGGCAAGTCCAAGTCCTCATGCGCCTGTTTGTGTTGATACGAAATGGTCCTGTCATTGTTCATGCGCATGTGTTGCGATGAGTTTTTGGTACACGAAGCAATAGCAAAACAACAATTTCCTCGAGTTTCCCAGGGTTGCCGGGTTGCCGTAAGTGGATGACCACGGACATGTACTGCCAAGACGTTGGACGCTCGCGTGCACCAGCTTTCGAATGCGCGTTTTTGCAACACTGCGTTCCTTGCCCTCCTCGAGCGAAAACGCAATTTTGACGGAAAACAAACTGTTCTTACAGAGCGACAAGGCGTTACCGAAATCTGTTTTGTACTGCATTTGACAATAGAGAACGCATTTGTCCACTGTCGTGCGCGCGTGAATAATCAGTCGGAGCGTTTATGCTTGTTAGTTGATCGAGAATGACATGTATCTTTGACAAACAGCAAGTAATCTCTGGGCCATTTAAGTACAATACATGTGCAGCTTATCTAAGTTTAATGTCTCTCAAAAAATACCATCTCCTTAAACCATGCACGGACCATGTTGGAGAAAAGTGAGCAGGTGTGCCTGTGTATGCGTGCACGGGTGCGTGCTCCGGTGCGTGCGGCTGTGCATTGGGGTGCAATGGCTTTGTTTTCTGATTGCGTGTCTCTCTTAGGATGGGGGTGTCTCGGGCTCGCTTTGTGGCCACTGCTCCGGTTTTTTGCGATTTGCATCTTTTGGAACCTGCTGTAGCTCAGCTAACTGACTGGCTATCTCCAACAAGTGCTTCTTTGCTCTGGCGACATACATAATCACATAATCAAAGCCCCCGAACCTGTGTGGACGCCCGTGCCCTTGCCAGCATCACAGCATCTAATTGATACCCTGCAGGAGCAGCTGCTCCCTGCACCAGACAAGACAGCGACATCCTCTGACAAGAGCTGCGCATCGACGCCGTCCTGGCTGTGAGTACTTGAGAGTAAGACGTGTCCCCACTCCCAGCGCTGGCAGATGCTGCAAGCAATTGCACACATCTCCTGAAAGCAGATTGGCACCAAGGACAGATCGACTGGAACCTGCAAAGAGACCTGATCGAAGGTAACAACTTGCTTCACATCTATGAACTCGGTCGGGCATGCTTGCCAAAGCCTCTCGGCCTGTGAATCAAAGCGACAAACACTAAGGTTGCCATGCCTGCAGGCCTGCAGGCAGTCGCAGGTCACCCAGCTACAGTCAGTCACGTCATCAGCCTCACACAGGCTCTGTCAAGACCGACTTTGCAAGTTTTGCAGCCCGTCCCAGCCCATGCCAAGCGCTGGACCGAAGGCGGCCTTGGCACAAGACACCCTTTCCCGCTCGATGCATGTTAGAATCTGTTACAATGGCCACGTGGGTTGCGCCTGGAACATGGGGGAAGCTAATCCTGCCCAGAGTGTTCTTACTGCCAGGTGCCTGGCTGGCAGGATTCCACGAAGGCTGCTATCCACCGCTCGAAGCGCAGCGGTTCAGGACACAAAGCTCCTGACATTACATTGGTTCGGCATGGCTCAGCTGGCACAAAGACAGGCACCTGTGTGCCGGAATCATTGCAGGCGGGCTATGTGGCTGCGTGTCGCAGACCACCAACAACGCAAGCGCAGACGAGATGCCTTCCGATGTTTGCTGGGCCTCGGTGGCTGGTTAGCTCTCGCAATCCAACGATGAGTGAAACCAAGCGAAACCCAGTGAAACCGTACCGCGACGCATTCAATTCAACTCAAGCTTCTGTGCCTGCACAACAAGACCGCATCCAAGCAGAGAGAAGCCGCACCAGCGATGCATCCTGGCCACACCTTCACTGAAGCTCGCAGAAGCTGAGAAATGCTGAAAACAAACGAGAGTGAAGTGAAAGGCTTCACAGCCTGCTCACATCTGTGACATCTGCTCAGTGAAAGGCTTCAAAGATCTTCAAACCAAAACCTTCAACCAATCTGGGGCTCCAGCACGCTCGAAGCTTGTCAGTGTGGTGGTAAAGTCATCTTTTGGGGTGCTCGGCCAACCCAAGTCGACGCAGTGCTTACAAGATGCTCGGTGCACGTTATCTTTCGTTGTTGATGTGACTTCTTGGTCAAAAGCTGGCCTCTCAGCTTGAGAAGCTTCAACTGAGCATGAAACGGAGTGTGCGCAAGTCTTCCTATGCTAGGAGTGACGAGCTCTGACAATCTGTCCACAAGATTGAAGACTCTTGGCTTGGCACTTGTGATCACTTGCGACGAACCTTTCTTTTGCGCGTTGCTTCGGAGATTCAATTTAAAAGTTTAGCAGAGTCTATCTAGCATAGTCTTGATTTGAGATCTGATGCAGCTTACGGGAAGCTTGGCACAACCTGAACTCCAAACCCACCAGCGATCGCCAGGGTATCCGATGCGTCCTACGGATTTGCAACGTTTGCATTTTGTATTGCTAAGGTGCGACTAGTCTTGTGTGCCCGCTGGGGCGGGGCTCCATGGCTCCTTAAAGTGTCCTCGCTACTTCGTCATATTTCGCAATACTTCGATATTTCGTGATATGTCGTTATACTTCGTGATATTACGTGATACTTCGCAATACTTAGTCGTCCTCGTGGCTTCTGAGACATGGAGCCGCTGATTCATTAGCGCCCGTCTACGGGCTAGGGTCAAAATTGAGCCACGGCTCTGCAGCCCAACTTGCCATCTCTGCAGCATGGCAGGCAACAAAACAATTAGAGCGTTGCGACCCTCCAGCCCACCTTGTCTTGAAACTAGAAAGTGATGAAAGCTCGCTTGTTGAAAAGATCTGCATCCAGCACTGCTCGTGTTTGCTCGATGAATGGTATGTCTCTTGCCTGACTTGCCAGCTGTAAAACAAGTCAGTCTCACTTTACCAATCTTGCCTACTTCGACATATCTACGACGGCTGGAGCCATCAAACTGTGCTGAAGCGCCACTGGGTTGGCAGAAGCCATGACCACCTGATGCAAAATCCCTTCTGCAGTGCTTGAGGCTGGGAATGAAGGACTGCATGGGACAACTCACTGAGCGCCTCTGCCGCCTAGGCCATGCCAAACAGCTGCCCGAGCATAGGGTTAGCATACCTTCGCAATAAGCTGGCACTTTTAGGCTGCATGACAGCGAAGCTGTCCCAAAACATGCAGCTGGCGCACTGCATGGGACGCACGTTCGGATGAGGCACATGCGCGAACGAAGTGTACTTTGGCCTTCATTTGGCTCGAATTCCTATCTGGAAACGGTTTGAAGCCATGGAAAGAAAGTCAATACAGTCAGTGCAGTACCCTTAGCTCTTGGGTAGCATTAGCTCCGGTCAAAGGAGGTCCAAGCCAGGCACGTCATTGTCTTCCCGTCCAATCTGATGAAGGCACCCTGCGTCGGACGTGCGGATTCACTTCTTGTACCAGGCTCCGACATTTCTCCAACATGACCTGAGGCCTTGTTACCCATCTGGTCACAATAGTTCGGGGCAGAGAAAACCGTGACCAGTCGGCCAGCATGCTCAATTTCATAGCCTGCAGGAGCCAGTGAAGGAAGTAAAGTGTTCACTGTACACTGTCGTTGACCGGGCTTTGAGCACGCAGCTTGCTCAAATTCAATTGCGCAACCAAGCTGCGGCAAAGGGTGCTACAGCTACAGAGTTAAAACAAACTGTGTCCATATTCTCAACAAAAAATGAGATGGGCAGCTCTACATGCACCATCTGACCGCATCAACTTCCAGTTGCTGAGAACCGCACCCTCCTCCTTCATCTCATGGCTACCTTCAAGAGTGTTTAGACAGGATTTTTTCGGTTCTACATGTGACATCACTTGCAGGCCAAGTGTCGTATGACCATCTTCAAATTGTTGACCTTGAGGAAGTTCTCCGTGACATCCTCGTACATGGTAAGCTGGTCGGAACAGTTGGCGGCTCGGCATGAAACCAATGGGTACGATCAGGAAAGCCCAACTGAAAGTTCTTTTCCACGTGGATCTGCCACTTGCCGAAGCTTCCCGTTTTAAAAGTTGGAGTTCCATGCGGTCCAGGAGGTTACCCGACTTCGGGAGTTTTGTGTTCGAAAGTGTTCGCAACGCGTTTAAAGCTTCGCAACGCCTTCGAAAGCTTTTTACTCACTATACTCACGAAGCCGCACGAGCATCTGGAGCATGATCCATAGCACGCCGAAAGAAGTCATTGCGATGGAAGACCTACAGTCAAGAAAGACCAATCTGGAATGATTGAAACGATTGACTTTTTATGGGAGGATTTCGGCACAACCTCGTTGCTAAGACGAAGTACAAAACGGTGGCTGCAACGACGGAGGCAAGTCAGGCGGGAGGTATGACCTAAATCGACGGTTTTAAGGGTAGAAAGGCCTGTGACTGCCTCAGCCTTACCATCGTGCAGCGCCAAAATGTACAACATTAGATCTAGGAATCTGCGCACAGCTTTGCCGATGGGAAGCCTGATTCGCACGTGTCGTGTATCAGCTCAAACGTGTCGGGTATCAACTCAAACGCGCTGACATTCAAGAGGATGAAGGAGGTGGGGGTGCGCCATGCTCGTAGCTGTCGTCGTTCTTGGACTTCGGTTTATGGTTCTGGCCTCATATAAGTGTCGTCGCTTTTGGACTTCGCTTTGGTTGTCGGGGTCCCACAATTGCTGACAGGTCGCGCACCCTGGGCCTTTTGGGCACCAGGCACCGGGCCCCACAGCTCATCCGACCCGGAACCAGAAAGGATGAACGAGGAAGCCATAAGGGCCATGAGGAAAGCCAGAGTGGGAGCACACGCCCCTGCCCACACATATACGCAGCATCCGGGCCCACGGGGAGCCCCACCCATCCGGCCACCGCAGCCCACCTGATTGTGAGGAAAGTCGCATTTGGGGAAGAAGTGCGGACCCCCTCCAGCTTCACAAAATGGCAATCCTACTGAACAGTGTTGCGGACGTTCCCCCATCCCCTCCTGGCCGAAGGCGACGCCGACTCCGCGCTTGGATGGCTGACGCCCTTACCAAGACTTTCGGAAGCTGCTTGACAATCTCTCGATCAGCAAAGCATGGTTTGGTCCGAGAATGAAGAATGATCGTTTGACCGACAGCTATTTCAGGGATCATCGGTTTGGACTCCTTGCCCGGCCTCGGCCAGGTTGTGGATCGCTCCACAGCCTGGCATGTAGACTTTCGACTTTGCTGCATCAAGATTAACGGCGCTGCAGCCCAGGTAACTTCAACTCTAACTTGCCGGTAGGACATTTCTGTCATCAAGCCTTCGTCTGGGGGTTCTTGCACCCTGTTCACCTGCAAGACCATGGATGACCACCTTTGGTTCCAGACCTGAAACGCTGCCTCTGCAATGGACAAAGCATGACATATCCTTGCCTGTCTGATTGAATCCAGCGTGACATCATCCTCGAAAACCAGAAGCGGTGAAAACAAAGTCTGGACTGGCAAAAATCCGCCGAGGCCTCGGAAAATTTGCGCACGTTGCCCATTGCTTTTGGTTGTTTGGAATTGGTACCCCTCCTAGCCGACAGGTTTCAAGGAGAACGGTGCACCAGGACCAGAAGGCATCTGGGCCCAACCCGCCCTACGCCCTGACTGCGTCTCCTTCTGCGTCCCCTTCTCTACTTCTAAACTTTCATCCCTTTCCTGTCCTCAACATCCCCTGCTCGATTCTCTGTCCGCCCACTCCTATTTTCCCCCATCCATCGGACCCGGGTTGTCCTTACCACTGCCACATTCTCAAAGCCCTGAAGCCTAACAGCACTTTCACAACCACGATCTCGCTGCCGGGCAGGCCCCGGCCAAGGCCGGTCGCGTAACATTAAAATTATGATAAAAGAGCTGCTCCTGTTGAAAAAAGTGATGCGCATCACTACCCATGCACTGGTTCCACTGGGATGTCCTTGGAGAAGAGTCCTCCATGGACGACAAAGACCTACAGGCATTGCTGGGATATGACAGCTTCTGACTGCACAGAAGCCACACAAAAGCCACACAGAAGGAGACCCCACCATGTTGTCATTCAACTTGTTGCAGGCATCAAATCGAGTGTTTGTACTTATGAAGGTGGCAGCGCTGCTGCTGCCTGATTGTTGATGACGTGGCACAATGGCAACAAGCAGAAAGCTTCACAGAAGAGCAAATATAGCTCTTCGTCGTACCTCCCGGAGGAAAAACTAACTCTTGTCATACATCTAAAGCACTTGCTGACTACACCACTGCAGCAGGTGAAGCACTTCTTGGTCACTTCCCCTTCGAAGCCATACAGCTTGTTCATGTTCCTGAAAGTCTGTACGATTTGTAACAAGTGCACACTCTGCATCAAACCTTTCCAAAAGCTATACTACACTTCAACTTGGTTGAAACGCCTTGTTTCATGGTTACCTCTGGCCAAGTGAAGATGCTGCGGGAACGCCTCGGACGAGACTGCAAATATGCGTCATCAGTATGCCTAGATATCATGCAGGCTCAGGTTATCTCAGGTTACAACTGCTCATGCAGCACATGCGGCAGTTGCACTCGAGACATCCCACATGTTCGTATGACAGAAGGTAATTGCATCCGGGTCCAGCACAAGCTTCCAGGCAAACAAAGTCAGGATGACCTAGCATGCACGAAAAAAATAAACTGAACAGTCACGCCAATCTCCACACCACAAATCTCTGTTATACCCGATCAATGCCCGATCGGGCCGCAAGATACCGTAAGCTGTCGCAAGCACTGCCTCGACGGAGAATGAACCCCGATCCACAAAGTCACCATTGAACAGGTACGGGTTTTCCTGATGCAGACACATCTTCACAATGCAGATGCGCTGCACCACTACTTGCTGAAGCACCCGCTCCTGGGATGGAACCCCATTCATCGAAAATATGTTTAGCAAGTCGTAGAACCTAAGTTCCGAACAGTTCCGAATATCTTTTTCTTGCACAGCGCATGGCACACAGCATCCGAGTATGCTAGCATGGCAGAAGTAGGAAAGCTCTCACGTGTTGTTCATGTGTGCGGCTCCAAGCCCAAAGCTGGCCATGTACATCTCCACATACCGTGACCTCGCTACAGGGAAAAGAAGCCAGGCACAGAAGTCTTGCGTTGTTGCATGTTGCGGCAATGTGGAGCCAGATGGTTTTTCCGCTGTCTTGCGTGCAGGCTTCAGCAAGTTAATCATCTCTCTGTTTCACTCCGACACAAAACAAGTGTTCTCCTGCGCGAATGTCTGCACGACTTCTCTCTGACATCTCGGTGGGTGGTGTTGTGCTTGACGGAAAAACATCGCTTTTGACATGTTGGCGCGTGATGCGGACTCAAACTTTCGCATGTCGGCGGGACATGCCTTTCAATGGCAGCAACTCTGGAGGATTCCATGTCTACAGCTACAGATATTCCACGCGTGACCGGCTCGGCTTTGGGCATGTTGGCGACAAGGAAAGCAAGTCGGCAGATTAGATCGAATTAGGAGATCGACAGGACTCAACGCCGGTAAATCCGCCACATGTTCGCTTTTCGGCGGCTTGTGGGACACATGAGGCAGTGGGCAAAGTAAAAAAGGTTTCAGTGCTCGTACGGTGAGTCCCAGTGTGTTCTATCACATCAGGAGAAAGGATGACCTGGAGTCCAGTCGGCACGGCCGCGTGACATCTGTCAACCGTCGGTCCAGTGAACTGCACCCACGATCCACAGCCAAGGATCTAACAGTTGGCATCACTTCGGACTTCAAGCTTCAGGTTCCATTTGGCACTAGTCCCCAAATCTTCCGAAGCTGAATTCGTTCCATGGGGAAGCTATAAGCGAAAACTGCCTGGCCTTTTGCTCTAAAGAGTGGACTTGTTTGAAGATGCCGGGAAACCAACTCAGGATATTGAGCGGATAGGCGCGGTCACGGGTAGCAATGATACCGGCCAAACTATTGGACCCTACCGTTTGTCATGACATCTGCAATGATTCCATTCTCCACTCAAACCAGAACAGTGTTTTTGCTGCATGAGCTCGACCTCTACGTGACAGTTCATGTCGTGGGAAACTGCACACACACACCTGTTCGCACCGTCAGGCGCCATGCGCACCTCCCCAGTGTCGGGAACCTCGATGTCGACAAGCGTGCTTGCTCCTTTCAACCTGGCCAGCTAGCCGTTCATGGAACATCATGGAATTCAATAGTAGGCCCATGACCTTGCACTGCAGTATTGGCATATTTTGCAACTATACGCAAAACACTGTAAACAGCCGGCAGGACATCTCTATCATGTCCAAAACCTTGGCATTCGATTTCAAGTCGCCAGGCAAGCACCCCTCTTCAACACAAAACAACAATTGCGGATGCACGAAATCTGTGTTGCATACAGGCGTACATGTATGGGGCAACAGCATTCAAGGCTAATCTTGCAAGTGTGTGTGTGTGTGCGTGAGCGCATATAACAAACAACAATGCACACATATACATATATACATACATACATACCTACATACATACATACATACATACATACATACATACATACACATAAAGATATACATATTAATATACATATGTATATACATATATATATATACATATAAATACAAATGCAAATACAAATACAAATACAAATACAAATATAAATATAAACATACATATACATATACATATACATATACATATACATATACATATACATATACATATACATATACATATACATATACATATAAATATAAATATAAATATAAATATAAATATAAATATAAATATAAATATAAATATAAATATAAATATAAATATAAATATAAATATATATGTATATATTACACACGTAAGGACACTGTTACTGTTGAAGCGGGTTGGGGAGGTGTGGTTGACAATTAAATGCATCCTTGGAGATGAATCGAAAATCAATTATCGGGAAGTTGTCGTTTTCTACCGCGCCTGCGGAGGTTTTAAGGACAAGTGCCTTCTGACATATCTTCAAATTTCATCTTCGGGTGACAGTCGAGTCGGGAAAACGAGTCGACAACGCGCAGGACCAAGTCAGAAAGCCGGGAGGACCGAGTCAGAAAGCGGAAAGGGCGTGAGTCAGAAAACCGAGCACACACGAGTCAGAAAACCAAAGACTGAGTCAGAAAACCACCGTATGCACACAAAGGTTAACCTTTACTACGAAACGTATACGTCCCTATGCATGTCAAACGTCTCGAGGTTCCGTGCAAACTTGCTTCAAGCATAGATGTTGAGAGTGCGTAAAAAAGAGGCCTGCGGATATTCAAGGTAACCCCCCCCCCTCCCCCCCCCCCCCTTCACCAACAAACCCCCTCCCCCTCCCCCCACCCCCCCCTACAAAGAAAGGGGGGGGGGGGCCCCCCCCCCCCCCCCCATGCTCAATTCCAAACAAAAACCGATTAGAATCAAAAGAAGTCCTATTAAAACGTTAATTAAAATCAAGTGAAAACCTATTAAGAACACTGTTATTGACCAACAAGGGGGGGGGGGGGGCCCCCCCCCCCCCCCCCCTTGAACAAGAGGGGGGGGGGGAGGGGGGGGGGGGGGGGGGGGGGCCATTGAACAAGAGAGGGGGGGGGGGGAGGGGGGGGGGGGGGGGCTTATGTTCCCGCAGGCCGCAGTGGCGCGCACTATCATAGATGAGCTTTTGAAAAAATGATCACGCGAGCATTGTGCTTGCAAATGGGGGGGGGGGCTGGTGGCCTCTTTAAAGCTGTGCAAGCTTCCTTCAAAAGAACATTTTCAAACCCATCATGCGAGACCCCAAAAACCCCTAAGCCCTAAACCCTACAGTGAAGACACCTAAACCGTAAACACCACAAACACCTAAACTTACAAAATTTTAAAAGCAATGCTCTGTTGAATAGATTCTCATATGGATTTAGGGTGTGGTGCAGCGGTGCATGTGGTGGGGTGCAGTGGTGCAGGTTGTGGGGTGCAGTGGTGCAGGTGGTAGGGTGCAGCGGTGCGGGTGGCGGGGTGCAGGGTGCGCCGGACTGCACCCTGCACCCTGCCGGACTGCACCCTGCACCCTGCCGGACTGCACCCCAAGAGCGGAACATTTAGCATAACATTTGGCCCAAATGTTATGCAAATGTTCCGCTGTTCGGGCCCACATTGCTCTTGAAACCTGATAAACCTAAACCATAAACCCTAAAAAACCGCTACACTCTAAACCCTAAAGAAACCCCTAAGCCCTAAGCCCTAAAAGCCCCTAACTAGACCCTAAAACAACATAAATTCAAAAACCCCAAAACCCCCGAACGCTGAGACCTCAACAAACAAAGAAACCCTACTCCCTAGGAAGAAAGCCCCTAGACCCTAAGCCCTAAAGCGAGAAATCCGTGCACCCGAACAACCCCTTAACTCGAAACCCCGAAAAAACCCGTAAGCCCTAAACCCCAAAAACTTCTGAACCCTGAACCCTACATTCCCCTGAACCCAAACCTCAATATCCCCGCCTTTTGTCCAACCCGTGCAAGCTTGCTTCAAAAGCACACATGAGTCTTTGATGAACCCATCATCCGAGCTTTGTTTTTGCAAATGGGGTGGGGGGACTGTGCCCCTCCCAAACCCGCCCGCTTGTTAAGCCGTGCACGCTTGCTTCAGGAGTTTTTGTCAAACCCATCACGCGAGCATTGTGTTTGCAAACGGGGGGGCCGTCTCAGCCGAGTGTTGTGTTTGCAAAAAGGCGTGCAAGGCCTTTGTTTCTGGCCCATCATGTTTGCAAACGGGGGACAGCCTGCGCCCCCCCAACCCCCCCCCCCCCGGCTTATCCTTTTGCGAACCCATCATGCGTTGTGTTTTGCAAAGAAGACCCCTAAGCCCTAAACCCTAAACAACCATAAACCCTAAACCCTATCAACCCGCGAGCCCTAAGCCCAAAAAAAACAAACTAAACCCTAAAAAACCCTCAACTCTTGACCCAAAAAACCCTAAACCCCGGTTGTTTTCGTGCCGCATGTGTTTTCTGTGCATGGGTCCATTCTGGTTTCGACTCAGGGGTCTTGTGGGTTTTCGACTCGGGTCGGCCACGTTCCCGACTTGACTATCACTCTTTAACCTTCAATTTCGGTGAGTTTGGAGCGCGAGCGAGAGAGAGAGAGAGAGAGAGAGAGAGAGAGAGAGAGAGAGAGAGAGAGAGAGAGAGAGAGAGAGAGAGAGAGAGAGGCGACACCTCTTGGCCCACGTTGTCTCCGCCCGGATGTTGAGACGCGAATGGGGCGCAGGGCTCCGAAAACGTCATGGCCCCACATGAAAATCCGCGCCCGACGCCTGTGCATGAAAGGGTTCTGTCTGGAGATGGAAAAGAGACATTTACTAAGGGAAGGCCACGCCGGGGCCGGGGTACTGGGAATGCCGCGCCAGAGGCTGCCCTGTAGACTGCAGCGTCCTGTACTGGTGATGGTCCAAGTTATCGTCCGTGCCTGGCGCATGTGTCCGCGGCACCTGACGGAGTTGGAAACATGAGAGGGTTCTGTCTGGGAGGAAACATTTACTAGGGGAAGGCCACGCCAGGGCCGGGGTTGGGGGAACGCCGCGCCAGGGCAGAAGACATTTTTGAGAATAGGTGCCTTTGGGTCGCTGCCGTCCTTGAAAGAGGACTGCCTTCCACCATACCAACGACTTGGACCAACTTCCAGCACAGGCATAAACATAGATGGCCGTATACCTGGAGGAAAGTTATGGTCGGCAGACGGGTGGGAGGTAAGGGGGGAGGCACTGTCGCTCTAGCGCAGCTTGCGGGGGAAGGGGATGCTCATCGAGCCCGTACGCCAAGGCTCTTAGTGCCGCCCCGGAATTTTACCCTTCAACCGGCACCAGCCCCAAAGCTGTGTGGGAGCGCTAGACTCCGGGGCGGTTTGGAAACCCTCCTCGTGTGTAGAGACTCTACCCCCAAAGATCGACGATTGAAGGCTTTCCAAAAAGAGTTTCAATCTTCAACCTTCTGTTTTGAAGGAGGTTTAGTTTTCAAAGCCGCCTCTTGGGTTTTAAGATTTCCGGCTAAGAATCTGGAGGAACCTTCAATCTTCAGCTGTCAGAGGGAAAGTTTCAATATTCACTGCTTGAGTTTTGTAACTCTTTCCTCCAAAGATTGAGACTGGAATATGCGCTAGAAATTTCAGTCCTCACCCTTCGGTAAGGAGAGGTCAAACCCATCGCAGCGCATCTGTGTAGCACGGCTTCGCCCAACAAACATGTGTATAAGGTGTAGCTATAAGCACATGGAGGAACTTGAGGTTTAGCGAACGTCTTGATGTCAGGAATCGGGCTTCGGCTTCAAAAGGCTTAGGAATAGAGTTTAAACTCAAACATTAAGAATGGGGGGGTCTTCCTTGAAGTATTTCTGCTAGGAATAGAGGGCTTCGGTCGCTTAGGAAGAGAGTGTAGCCCTAAACATTAAGCCGGGACTATTTAAAGGTGGTCAAGTCTGGAATACTGATGCATGTACGGAAGAATGCTTAAGAATCATCAGGAATGTTCAGGGCATTTGCTTTCATGCCTAGAGAAATTTTATTGTTTCGAGACACTATTGCGGGAAACTCTTTCATGTCTAGAGATTAAAGGGCTTCGGCTTAACACGTTCGAGAACTGAACACTAAAGTTATTGAGAAGCCCATAGTCATCCTGCATGGATGGATTTTGGCGATTTGAAGCATATAAACGGTGCGGTTCCAAAACCATGGATTAAAAGTAAAAATATGTGTCGGAGGCTTGTTGAACCACTCCAACATACAGCTGCTTGAGACCCACACTCCCTAGTGGGGGATGTGGTGGAGGGGGGCTGGGTTGATTGGAGGATCCCACACGCCACACACAGCGAGGCCAGAAACACAAGAGAGAGAACGGGACAGACAGAGAGAGACAGAGAGAGAGAGAGAGACAGAGAGAGAGACAGAGAGAGAGACAGAGAGAGAGACAGAGAGAGAGACAGAGAGAGAGACAGAGAGAGAGAGACAGAGAGAGAGACAGAGAGACAAAGAGAGAAAGAGAGAGAAAGAGAGAGAGAGAAAGAGAGAGAAAGAGAGAGAAAGAAAGAGAGAAAGAGAGAGAAAGAGAGAGAAAGAGAGAGAAAGCAAGAGAGAGAGAGAGAGAAAGAGAGAGAGGGAAAGAGAGAGAGAGAGAGAGAGCAGAGAGAAACAGAGCAGAGGGAGAGACAGCAGAGAGAAAGAGAGAGAAAGAGAAAAAAGAGAGAGAGAGAGGAGAGCAGAGAGACAGAAGAGAGAAGAGAGAGAGAGAGAGTGAGAGAGAGAGAGAGAGCAGAGAGAGAAAGGAGAGCAGAGCAGAGCAGAGCAGAGAGATAGAGAGAGAGAGAGAGACAAATAGAGCAGAGAGAGCAGAGAGAGCAGAGAGAGCAGAGAGAGCAGAGAGAGCAGAGAGAGAGAGAGAGAAAGAGCACACAGAGAGAGAGGAAGAAAGAAATCAAGAGAAAAACAACGAGTAAAAGAACGAGACAGAAAGACACAAAAAAAGAGAGAGAGAGAGAGAAAGAAAGAGAGAAAGAAAGAGAGAAAGAAAGAGAGAAAGAAAGGACGAGCTAAGCCCAAAAAGTCTTTCGCCGTGCCTCGCCAAAACTTGCCAATGAGCTCCTTCAAAACCGTCGAAAGACTCAAAAGCCCACAAAAGAGCCTCCAGTATGTTCCAATTCAGGGCCTCCGAAAGCCCTCGCGATAGACGCGCAAATTAGCTTTCAGGACCAATGAACTTCCAGGGCCTCCAACCCACGAGCAATTGAGCCTGTCGGCCTCTGAAACACATTCTATGGGGTTTGGAAACATCGGATGTTGCCATGATGTTGCCCTTTGCTTCTTCTCTGTGGGACCCCCTTGCCATCTGCCATCTGCGGTCTGCGGCTCGGCCATCCTGCTCGGAGTGGCCTCTGCTCCGTGGTGTCTTGTGTTTCTTCCGTGCTCCTGTGGTGCCTGTGGTGCCCACACTTCCTTGAAAACCGCCAGTTGACGACATAAGCTTGCCGCTGGAAAACCAAGCGCTGTGTTCCTCCCTTAGATGGGCCCCGTGCAGCTCAGGTTCTGGACCTTTGTGAGCCTCCCTTGAGTGGCGACAGGTGACGTCGGTTGACCAGGACCTAGAAAGCAATGATGTAATACACATTCTAATCACATAAACCCCTTCATTTAAAAAACACACCATTCAAAGCTAAAATATCTGATCCGACAGTCCCACTACAGTTTGGCGATCCGAGGTGCATGTATGTCTTGCACATTGCATTCAATAGAATAACTGGTATCTAATAATTGAAACACAGTAATTGCGGATATATATATACATATATATATCGTGTACAGTATTATCGTGATAGTAACAGTTTACCAAGAAAGACGAATGCCTTTACATAATGCCTTGATCATAATGTCTTCCCATATTCATGTTATACATCTTTTCAACTAAAATCCAGTATCAATATTTCCTTTATCTACGTTTCTTAACCGAAATCCGCATCTTCACGTCTTCTCACCCAGTTTGGCACAGGTCGACCGACATCAATGCATTTCAGGATTGGGTGTCCCAAGTGGCCTATGTCCTGCGCTTGCTTGATTGAGGATGGCGCAATCTGGTACGCGTACTTCTTAGCAATTGTCTTCTCCTGCAGGCAATCGTGGTGTTACAGTAGAACTAGACTGCATTGCAAAGTCGCGCAGTGCAGTTATTGCAGTTATTGCAACGTGTCCGTACTTGATCGTGGCCCTTCACCGGTCCTCCTTCTGGTGCTGCATCAATGACAGGCAGAAGTCGGCCGAGCAGGCTCCCTTCTCATACACCGGTCCTTGACGAGGTGACAAAGTGAGAAACGCGACACTGCATCTCAGCATTGCATGGCTTTCATGGGCACTGTCTTTGAAGACTCATGCCATTGTCCTGAGTATGTTGAGTCGACATCCATATGAGCCACATCCACTGTCTGGCCTGAATAAATGCAAGGTGAGTGCAAGGTACGGGTCCGTCCAACTCATCAAGAAAGCCCGTGTCTCGCGGCTATTCTTGCTCAGACAATTCCTCAGCACAGCCTACGAAAATCCGAATTCTTACAGCGTTTGGTAGATTGAGACCCAGGCTTGCTGGCTTTGTTTTCTCGCAGCCTATGGCCTTTGCGAACTTGTCTGCAGTCACCTCTCAGCCAAGATTTTGCGGAGCTGCCAGCGCAAACAAAACAAGACATGTACTCTGGATACGACTTCGAGGGAGGCAGTTGGGGGTTTCGAACCTGCTTCTGGCACTGCTTCAGCCTCTCTCTGGCATCCTGTGCAGTGAGGCCCAGCTCAAAGATATTGGCGGTCACAAGACTCGTCGGACAGAGGTGTATCACAAGCGTCACATATTGAGCTCTCCTTGTCGTTGGGCGCCAACCTTGGCATTGCCACACGTGAACTGCGATGCGCAACATGTGACAGTGCGCAAGATATTGAGCCATCTGTGTTCGGGCCGTCCCGCCGGTCTCTGGTAAGTCCAGAACTTGCACAGCTGGTTGAAATCACGAAGAGCTTCCTGGTCAACTCTCCCGCTAGCAAATCCTAAAGTCATCCGTTGAAATGGCTGGCATGGGAGAAGAAATGTCAAAAGAAGGATGCAGGGGCCCTCTCAATTACAAGATGCCGTACATGCAGCATCTCAACAAAAGACTGACAGCCAGCTCCTTCGGCCGGTTGAGTGCCTTGCTCGAAAAACTGAGGTCAACACATGTACACACGCAGCCAACTTCAAAATGCAAAAAACAAGTCCAGGGCCATATTGGCAGTCCCTCGCCTACACGTCTCAAAGAGACCAGAGACCATCGCAGAAGCCCAAGTTGCACCCCAAACACCCAAACAGCAGAGACTGTCAGCTCTGACTTTGCAGGGAGCACCTGTACCAGCCCTTTGGCCAGTCTTCCTTTACTTCGATTGCCTTCGTGGCGTCCACCAGCGCAGAGCCTGCGTGACCATGGCCAACGATGGCCCTTTGGCAATTTCAGGATCTGCACACCGACCAGCTCATGGAGCTCATATGAGCATTCATGAGCCCATGTGGCATGTGCGGCTGTCTTGGGGACGGACCAAAATTTTCCATCTTTATGTGGCAGAATGCCCTGTTGGCCTGGACATTTTATCAACGCGTAAGCTGCGCTTCGAACACCACTCCAACACGTTCAACACAATAATCAGAATGATGACTCAGTGCAGAGCGTAGTAGACATGAACGTTGGGGTTCTTGGCAGGAGCAACTCCATCCAACGAGTCCAGACCGTCATCCTATTCACAGGCAAGGATGCCAAGGTATTCATGAGAACGGTTTCGGCGCACAAACAGCATGACATGACAGAGCTTTCAACCCACTAATGCCCACTGCTCATCGCGCCATTGAGCTCATTACACAATCTTGTAGCACAACTCTTAACGATGTATGTTGCCCAGGCCTGAACCTAAAAAATGCGGAACTCCTCCTTTGAACTGACTGCACGTGCCGTCCAACAATGGTCATGTTACAACTATTCCGCCTCTGACTCACTGAGCTCAATCGCGATGGAGTACGCGGCAAGCGCCTTTGCCTAATCGTGATCCCAAGGTCCCGTGTCAAACCCAACTACCGAGTGGCAACAAAACATTGTTCTTGCAAGTGCCGAACGTACTTCCCTTCCTGAAAGTACCTGGCTCAAATCATCATTGCTGTTCAACGCTTCGTGAATGCTTTTTTATTTTAGGTCCACAAAAAACGATGACCCCAGCATTGGGTCACGTGTTGCCTTCGGCCTTTGCCTTCTCTGCTTTTGTAACTTCCTGCCCAACCCTTATGCGCAAACACAACTTGACATCTCCTAAAAGGGATCACTGAAACAGAACCGACCTCAGCCATGGCAGTCAGCTTTGCTTCAAATCCCAGCACCTGATCGACAATGCTATACTATACAATGATGCCCAAGTCCCTGCAAACTACCCAATTGCTCATCATGCGTGAACGCAGAACTGATCACTGGGAACCCGACAACGCGAGGACCATGGTGAGGTCATTCCATGTCATGCCAGAACGTGCACTGAAGCCGAGCAACGGACAAACATGTCATTCCAACAAGCTGTTTGTTGCTGACAAAATCATCCAAATCATACTCCATCGTTGAAGCAAGATTGCGTGGCATTGTTTAAATCAACCTGACAAGATGGCTACGAGCGCTAGCGACAAACACTGCTACTTGAAACTTGCTTAAGTTTGCGGCGTTGCGCAAGAAACTATCACATGAAACAAAGGTTGCGCAGAGTATGAAATTATTCAGGCAGGGGCAAATATTGGCTGTTTACAATGTTTACGTTCAAGGCTTGGTGTTGAATGTACGCCAGACTGTGAAGTTGAAAACACTCCCGACTGCGATGTCACAAGGTGCCAAGGTATGAGGTGTGAGGTTGTGCATACATGTATTCTTCGTTTTATGTTTCCAGGGGGAAAGCTACGGAAAAAAAGGCTCTTGGGCCATGAGTAACATCATGTACCTGTAGATGCACAGTGTGAAGGTTCTAAACACAAGAATTGATAGTGACATATAATGACGTTTACTGTTTCCATTGAAGCTGTATCTCCAATACTTCTTGCCGGCAAGGCACCAAGCAGAAACAACAAAAATATCCCTGCCACAACCATGAAAATTGATGTTATTTGGTTTGCTGGCTCGTGCGTTGTGGCGGCGCTGCGCTCATGTTTCGCGGCTAGGCAACCATGCCGAACTAAGCGATCACACTCCAGTTCTTTGGGGGATTCAGCACTGAGTATGTAAACAGCCATTCTTCCAAGCATCCCAGCGGCTCGTCGCTCGTTCAGACGGAACACCGAATCCTTCCCATGAAACACTGAATCATTGATGTCTGTTTGGGTCACAGGGGAAAGGGAAGCCCGTTTCGTTGAAGGTGTTGAAGGTTGGGCGTCCCGGCCAGACACAGCCGAGAGCTTTATAAGCTTGGCGCCTGAGGGACGCGTGGATGAAACCGGGCGCAGCCTTCCGGCAAGTATTGGCCCCGTTGCCAAGAACTGTTTTGGCCGAAGCGGGCGCCCAGGCAAACCACTGAACTTTGGCCTCGCTGGTTGTGAGATGTTGTGAGATAACAGGTCACATGCTCGTCGCTGGCCCATTTCGTTTGCAGGAGTTGTTGACGCAGTGGGAGCTAGTGGTCCTGTTGCAAAGGTTGACAAAGAGTTGGCCAAACTTCCGCAAAAACAAAACTCGCCAAGTGCTTGTGTGCTGCGATGAGATGAAGCAAAATGCTGCAACACATGATTGGGCTGCAGTGTGGCGGCTCATGCGAAAGATTGCAATGACAAAGTTTGGCCCACAGCTCAGACGGCTTGACCAGTTCCCGCCCCTGCCCTTTGTTCAGGATTGGGTTCAGCGCCTACGAGCCGCAGGTCCAAACGGAGGCTGCTCTGCTGCTGCGTTGCACACGAGCGACTCGCAGTCGCCCCGAGCAATGGAGCAGTTTGTTGCGTCTTTGCATTCGGCTGTGCCCCGTAGAGTGTCCAACAGCACTCCGGGCCAAGCATGTGCACCCCACCATCTTGTGGCGTGCAGGTTTGCAAAGTCCTGTTGGCTTGACGGCTTCCACTCAAGAAAACCTTGAGACTCTACGGTGTTACCGCGTTAGCGCCAATCACCGCAAATCAGTCCCTGACAATTGCTGTTGCGCCGTCGCATGAGAAGAGCGTGGTTGCAACATCATCTGGATCCCAGGTGGATGCGTTCTCCTTCCCTTGACCGGATGTTGTTCCATTTGCTCTGCGCGACAACGGTCGTGCCGCTAAGTCGGTAAGCACAGTGCACGCACGCCACTTTTGCTCTACCTGTTTCTTCTTCGGGCGCCAATCGATCACCCTGTCGACGGGAACTGTGAAGGTTCGGAACGAGCCGACGTCCGGTCGCTGAGCGATCAATGGAAGTCTTTCATAAGTGCGATCGATATTTCCCGACGCACAAATATGGGTTGGGAAAGGTTGGAAAAGATGCACTCTCCGATTGCTCAGACCAAGTCTGAGCCAAAATGGCATACGGATGACATGTTCCTACTGCACTTAATCCGCACGCAAGAAACCCTTAAGCGTCACTCAACGGTCGTTCCACGAAGGTCGGCATCTGGTGACTTCTGGGGGCACACATGTCCAGAATTCCAGGCTGTTGCAACCAGTAGCCTCATATGACATTTGCAATAGGACCCCCACTGGTCTATGGCCTCGAAGCAGGCATTACGAATCTGGTCGACCCTCGAAGTATCACCGTACTTTTATAGGCAAAGAAAAAGACAATGAACATGTTCAAAACATTGTTATGAGATTGATGTTGTTATCTCAAAGGGAAATCATAGGCCTTCCACTCTCAAGGCGATCTCAATTCTCTCGCGTGAGCGAAAGGGGAAACATTCGCATCGCTGTTTGCAGGTGACACCTCCATCCAATTTAGGAGTACAGTCTCTACTCATAACATGATAACTGACATAGGATTTGCCATCATCTGGCTGTGGGGTAGAAGAGTTTTTGATTCTTTGCTCTTTTTGAATGATTTCAAAAATTCTCAACTTACAACCAAACTAAAGGTTGTAAAAAATCACTTTTCTACATAGCCAACATGCAAGAAAACTTGACAATAATCACTTGCTAGACTTAAAATAATCGAGCCATCATTCAAGTGGCAAAAGAAGAAGTAGCAGAAGTAGTAGAAGTAGTAGTGGTGGTGGTAGTGGTAGTGGTAGTGGTAGTGGTAGTGGTAGTGGTAGTGGTAGTAGTAGTAGTAGTAGTAGTAGTAGTAGTAGTAGTAGTAGTAGTAGTAGTAGTAGTAGTAGTAGTAGTAGTAGTAGTAGTAGTAGCAAAGCGCGCCCTTGGGCGCCTGCCATTCGGGTGCGTTTTCTGCTCTTCTACGGGTGGGTGGGGGGGGGGGTGATAACGTCCATGCCATGTCGCACATGCCGAACGCATCGTGTTTTACAGTGTTTTCGCCTCCCGGAGAGGACTCGCGGCCAACGCCTCGCTAGTAGGGCATCGCTGAGATGCCACTATGCTTTTTCCGAACCTGCCTAGGGCACAGGGCATTTTTGTTGTTTTCGGCGCCGAAAAACAGCTGGCTCGCAGCAGCGTTGTGTTCATGATGCTCGCTTTTTTTTGCCATGTGCGTAACCAGAGCATCCATGCCTGGGGACATCTCTGACGCCCTGCTCGCTGCGGCGGTATGTTCTAGTGTGGTGGGCTTCCGTTTTCTTCTCAACGTTGGACCTGAAAGTTATGTTCCAGCCTGTGCCCGCAACCCTGAATGCGTGACACTCTGAGTTATTCTCCAGATTTCGAAAACCTGTACGTTTGGTGAGTCTGACGCAGACTCTTGCGGCTCACGCGCAGGCTTTTCCAGGGGTTCGAAAGGCATGTCTCCGTGGCTCCCGGTAACCTTGGCGATCTACTTGGTTTTGAGGCATTCCTGTGTAGTTCGGCTGCCGGAACTTAGCAGACTCAATGCCTGCAGCGTGCATGAGCTCACCGAAGTGTTCGACGTGCTCACTTCCTGGCACCCAGTTGACAGCGCCGAGTACGTGGCTCTGTACGCACTGTTCAGAGAGTCTTTCACGAGAAGACGCGGGAGCATGGACTTCCCGAGTCTGATTGCTGCGGCGCCCTTTCTGGCATTACAGTTTCGCAGAGCGCTGCGCAGCAGATCGGGTCTAGGATCCTTTGCTTTGAACCAGATGCAGCTCTACTCGCAACGTTTGGATCGCCGTTTTGGCGCTCCACATACGTGGTCGCTTCCGCAGAGCTCAGTCGACTTCTATCCTTTTGGCATGGATCCCCTCAGCATGTCCAAAGAGGACGGCACTTCCTGCGCGACCTCTTGGGCCGTAGAGGAGAGTCCACGGGACGTGGCCGCAGTGTCTTTGCCGGACCCGTCTTCCTCTGACGGCTGCGCGACCCCGCCGAAGAAGTTGACACCCATGCAATATTTGGAAAGACTTGAACTCAGCCCTGGCACCACTGCACGATATGATTCTTTGGACGGTCCGTTGAGCCCAGTTTCCTTCTATGACTCGCCGCACAGCCGGCGCCTCAAGCGCCTTCACGGCTGGGTGAAACCCCCCAGCCCCCCAGAAGCAAGCAGTTAAGGCACCCAGATCCCTGCAGCCTTCAAGCTTCAACCCGCCCCTCCCCCCCCCAGCCTCTCAGAAGCAAACAGTTAAGGCCCCAGATCCCTGTAGCCTTAAGCTTCAACCCCCCCCCTAGAAGCAAACAGTTAAGACCCCAGATCCCTGTAGCCTTGAGCTTCAACCCCCCCCCACCCCCCCCAGCTCTAGAAGCAAACAGTTAAGGCCCCAGATCCCTGTAGCCTTAAGCTTCAACCCCCCCCCCCCCCAGCCCTAGAAGCAAACAGTTAATGCCCCGAGATACCTGCAGCCTTAAGCTTCAGCAACCCCACCCCCCCCCAAAGCGGGCAGTTAAGCAACCCAGATCCCAGCACATCCCTTCCAAACCCTGAAACCTTCATTTTGCGTGCCCGCGAGTAGTTTTTTTTTTGGTGATTTTTCGGCCTCTACTGGAAATGGCGCAAAACACCTATGTCCGGCGGTTTTACCACAGCAAACCCACCAGGCGCCCTGGGGCGCGCTAGCCTAGTAGTAGTAGTAATAGTAATAGTAGTCGTAGTAGTAGTAGTAGTAATAGTAGCAGTAGCAGTAGCAGTACCAGTACCAGTACCAATAGCAGTAGCAGCAGCAGTAGCAGTAGCAGCAGCAGCAGTAGTAGTAATAGCGGTAGTAGCAGTAGTAGTAGTAGTAGTAGTAGTAGTAGTAGCAGTAGTAGTAGTAGTACTAGTCGTAGTACTAGTAGTAGTACTAGTAGTAGTA